CTCTTGCTTTGCCATTTTGCCTCGTGGTGGCGGGAACAAGAAATTGATTAGTGTTTACCTATACGTCTGGAAGTGCAGTGCATGCAGGCATGCCAGTCAGGCCTGGCATGCAGGAGGATTATCTTACGCCTACTTTTAATTTTAGCATAGATATTATAGACTACGTAACCGGGATTGGAAACTGATGACGTCACGTGTACGGACTGTGTGATTATTAATGCATGAAATTGCATGAATTTACATCAAAAATGGTGAAAATCATGAAGAATTGTTATGTTTGATGAGCCGTATTAATAATATACTGTGATGTAGCTGGTTCTAAGTAGCTTAATCGCATAAAGAAAATACCAGAGATCACGATGGTACCTTTCTCTTCGTGTCTCTATGCTTAGTTCGCTCGGGAGAGGTACAACAGATCGGCCGCTTTTTGGCGTTATTTTGGTGGATTTCTGCTCTCAGTAATATGGCAGGCAGAACTAACCAGTCTATTCTCATGTAGCATGGCCTTGTGCATAGTTTTAATCATAAAATGAAACTGGGGTAGCTAAAGCTTGTTTGCAGGAGGGAGAATAAGACATTTTCTCTTGTCACGGGGAGCGCACTTGCTTTAAACACCTGCTTTTACAAAGCTAACACATTTTATTTTTGTATCAAAGAAAAATATTAACATGTGCGTATATTATAAGAGCCCAAGTACAGGTGAAATAGCTTGCGGGACTTCACTAGAGACCATTCTTTCCAGCCATGTCAGGCATTTTCGTCCGCCTCTCACTGTCACAGAGACTGTACCTGAATAGTTACATTGATTTGAATGGGATCACGTGATCTGTTTCCAATCCCGGTTACGTAGTCTATAATATCTATGACCCGACCAAGGGACCCGAAAAGACTAAAGTACGGACTCCGCGTTAATGACCACAAACCTGACCGACCTAGAGCATAGATATCTATGCTAGCATCAGTATTTATGATGCTAGCAAACTCCATGATGGCCTAGACAACATATAGAACTTCAGTGACAAAAATGATTTTTATCTATGGTGATAGTGATGCTATCAGTTGAATCATAATACAATCAATGAGGCCGGCCGTAGTTTATTGTATTGATCACTGAAGTCCTTAATTTCAACTTGAGTTAATAGTTTGTTATACTCATGCATCAGCAATTATTTATTTCTTTTAAATTTTAAAGTGATCGGCAATGAGAATGAGAATGGTTAAGAGGCTACATAAAGAAGAACTGAAGGCCTGACCAAGGAAGCATGGCCATAAAGCCAGAATATAAAGAAAGAAAGAAGAGAAAAAGAAACAAAAAACAAGTAAGAGAAAGTAAAATACAATCAAAATTAAGACGGTAGTAATAATGATGATAATGATAATAATGATTATCAACTGAACCTACTGCAAAATAAATCAACATGAATAGAAATTAATGACAATACTGGAACTGATCCCAAAGGTAGTACTTGATATGGAAAATAGCAGATGCAGCAGACAAATTTGAATCAATGCAAGGGAGACGATTCTATGATAATAAAGAGTAGATCAGAGCGCAACAACTTGAAATAATAATTATGATTCAAGTAGTGATGTTGTGTGAAGTGGCACAATAATCATGAGAACATTATACTCAATTTGTTATAAGCAGAAAAGTAGAGCCTTTGATCTTGAAGCTTGTAGCCAGTGATCCCATGGATCTCAAGCTAATCACACCAACACTAATAACTGTGGTCAGTGGTTTTAACTGAAATCAGAGAGAAGCAAGAAAACTTTGACAGGGTGCTTTAGAAGGCTGCAGTAAAAGTTTTTAATAATCTTTATAGCAATAATATTAATGAGAATCATGCAGCTTGTGAATAATACCAAGCTTAACTACTAAAATGGATAAATAAATTATTTATTAGCAGAATAAAATTATTAGTAGACTAAATAAATTATTAAATAAATATACCAGTCTAAACAGAAGTTTGCAAAAAATACAGCACAGTGGTATCACTCAGTAGCATATTGTCAGAGGAGAGCTTGAGGGATTAGTATGGACAGTTAGAGATTATATCAATACTTAACTGAACAGTTATAATACTTTTGATTATGTAGTTCACTTATGCAGTGATAGATACAACTACCAAAGTTTTTGTACTATTGTTATTTAAAATTTTAAATAATTTATATGAATTAAAGGTGATGTAAATTCTTGAATATAATCATTACAAGTCTGGGCCATACTTCAGTGGCATTCATCTTCATTGCATGCGTACATTTCATACAATGCATGTTATAATATCAAGTATAGGCCAAAATTTAAAAAATTTTTCATGCATAAAATCATCAACCACAATAATTCAGTGTAGCTACCAACATCAGTAGCCATTGAAAATTTAAGCAGTTGCAATTATCATTACATATCTAATTTGTAACCGTTATTCCACTAAATTCAGAACAAGATTTACTTCCCACACTAGGCTGTAAAGTGACACAAATAAGTATGAGATATTTAAATTTACTCCACCATTTGTAGAGTCACTGCACAACATCAATTAGCTATCATGCTCAGGCTGTATACAGTTGTTTCATGAATAAATTCTTTAAATTTGCAATGTTTGGGCTTATATCTTAGCGAGAAGCAGGATTTCAGTAAGAGTAAATCTTGACCTTAGCATTAGCTATAATTTTTAGCAGTGAGCCAAGTGGTCCGTAAAATAGAGATGTCGCGGACCATTCGGGTCCGTAAAACAGACTTGTCGTCGACCATGGTCCGTTGGTCCGGTCCGGTCCGTTTTTTAGGGACGACCTACCTGGTACCTAGGCGAGGCAACCCCGCCTTATAAAAATGGCTTCAAAATCGCCTCCTCCAGACTCTTCATTTTTCTCTATCTTAAGTGAGTTCAGCATTGAAACTATTAGATCTCATTTATTAATACCCACAGATTGAATTTACTATTAAAACTAAGTACTAACTTATTCTGGTGACCAAGTCAATTGCTAAAAAGAATCAATTTTGGTATGGTATGATTATATAATTCATAAATATTATTTTCAAATGATGAATCTTGTGTAGAAGAAGAGTTTTTCAATCACGCAGACCCATTATCTGAAGGAAACATTACCACTTCAAGTATTACTGCTTTGGTAGGTGAACAAGGGCGTAGCTAGCATAAGGCTAGGGTAGGCTATAGCCTACCCTAAAGTTCAGAAGTCAGAATTGAAGTTTAGTAGTTTACCTATATTGAGTTTCTGCCTTAGTCACCTATGACTAAAGA